TATAATGCATTTCGATGAAAACTTTTCCACCAATTAGGGTCTCGATTTCAATTGTGTTTTTTGATAGCCACTTCCGTATATTCTCATCACACAGGAATAAGTGGTTTCAGCTGTATATAATTTGGAAAAGTTTTAATTAGCTGAAGTACTTGTAACGGCACCAAGATAGTATTTCGAATCAAAAACGTACTAGTGGACGGGGTTAAATGTCCGAATCAGTAACACACTGTGTCCCGAGATGTTGAGAGTAGTCTGCGCGTACCAGCATTTGAAGAAACATAAGAATTCTATTGAAAACCAGAGTCTGTCAGTCGACTGGAGGTTCCGTGAACTTTGCCGCAAAGATCACATTAGGCGAAATGTATACATTCATTTACAGGGGTATTGAGTAGACTATGTCCAGATGGAATCATCCAAAACACAACCTCCTCTGAGCTGTGCACGGATTTCAAAAACATCTGACAGAGAAATGAACGAACAATGAATTTGTTTGATAGTCACATTACGGAGTTCTTGTTATTATAAAGCTTTAATCTCTAGACGCGAAAATCAAAGACACATTGATTGTCCTAAAACTTCTAAAATGATTCGTAAAAGAAGTGAAGCGTCGTCGGGTGTAGTGATTTAGAGAATTTAATTCAGATCAACTCAGTGAAAATATCTGACATATTCCGGATCAACTGGTTTTTACCAACCAGCTCAAATATCACTTCCAAATAACGTCTGAACATTAAAATGTATGCAAAGAGTGAATACTCATCTTTAGCCTTTCGTCTCGCCTCATCGCTTAAGCACTTGTTTCGGTTTGTGGTCTTGTCCAATTTACTGCTATGCCAATTAACTATCCAACTCACCATTATAATGTGATCTGCAAGCATCTAAACAAGAACGGTTTTCATTGATTTATTTTGATTGTTTCTTCCCAAAAGTTGATCCTCAACATGATGAGACTGGTGCCGATCGCCAAGTACCTCTAACACCCGTTCAGCCAAGTGGACAGGTAGCTCGAAGTGAATTCACCCAACCTGGCGTAACATTTCCTGAACCATCGGCTAACACGTTGCAGTGTCCGTTTTGTCAACAAATACTCACATCTACTGCAAAATTTTGGCGTCATCTGGAAAGCGATTTAAGCAATCGGGAGTGCAAATGTCCATTTTGTGATCTTCAGACCATCAGTCCTAGTCATCAGGTGGAACATCTTTTGGAGAGACATAAGGAATCATTGTCCGTTCCCGAGAACCAGAGTTCTGTCCAACCTGCCGACCCAGTGAAAAATATGTGAAACATTTGTGGAAAAAGCCTTTCCTCGAGGTTTTCGTTAAAAGCCCACTATCGCGTGCATACAGGAGAGCGGCCATTTGCGTGTCCCAATTGCGGAAAATGTTTCAAGGCTCGCGGAACCTGCCAGAGTCACAGCGAAGTGTGTAGGAAAGCTTGAAGTTTGATTTGATTTTCCTTCGAATGCTTCAACAACCAGAATGCGATATTTGTGTTTTTTCATTATTAATATTGTAGGAAGTATACGGTACTAAATCCACTGACACTTTTGATCCTGTCAAATGGAACCAGAATATTCTTTGGCATCATAACAAAATGTTGAACTCTCAGTTTGGACAGTGGTTTATAAATCAACTGGCTGTTGATGTGTTAGCCGACTGTAAGATCCGGACGATTAAGGATCTCACAGGACGATTGCGACTATTAGATTATACGCAGTTCGTAGCCAGTAGTCAATAGGAGCAGACAGACGTGGGGCAGTAGATGATATATTGAAGACTGACAGGAACTGGGTAACGGCGCAGGAGTCAGTACGTTCGGGATGTGAAGGACTGTCTTTCGGTCGGCGTCGACGCAGCCGCTCGTGTCGCGTGACAGGTCAGATTGCGCGGTTTCATCCGTTTAAAACAAAGCTCAGCAAGGGCTGTCTGCCAGGTGCGATACATAGGTAATACAAAATAAACAGCCGCGCTGAACGCCCGGTGGGTGTAGTCGGTGACGCGTTCGCCTGCTGTCCGCAGACTCTGGGTTCGATACCCGGTCGGCGCGCTTTTCGGTCGGAGTGGACGCTCGTGAATAGGTGCAATCCAGACGAACTTGCAAGCAATGACGGACGGGCAAATTAAGTATTGACATCAGTTACTGAGGCATAAGCAGACCCTAAGCCGGGACGAAACAGGGGGAAAACGAGCAAAGAAACGAAGCGGTGTCATAGTAAACAGACGCGAGTCACGTTACTCATGAGTAGTCAGAAAACAAGGAAAATTACCGCTGGTCACCGTTGATTCGCAGGCGGAATCAACACCGACCCTGTCAATTTGGTTGGAGTTGTTTACATCATCAACCGTGAAGTCATCACCCTTATGCGTCTGAGTGAGTTGATTATGTCGACTCGACGAAACGTTCGAAAGGTGGTAACCAAGCGCGGTAAACGGATCAACAGCCACCTGATCAACATTCAAAAACACACCCTTATGGAACGCACGCTGTGATCAGTGACAAGGTACAAACATAGCTCCGGAGGCCTGAATTTTCTCCTTTCTTGTGAATGGGAGTATTACAGTAAGAGTAGAGGAAGGAGGTTTAACAGAACAGCACGTTTAACAACCCGCAAAGTCTCGGTGACCGTTCGACATCATGCTAAGAAATTGCGTCAAAACGTTTCGAAATTATTAATCTTGCAAATGCTGTGAGCGTCATCAAATAGTCTCAATTTTGACCGTGACCTTTTTTAGGACTACTCAGACAAAGTTCCCTTAGGAAAACTGAGGATTTTCCCAGCAAAATATACTGAGGTATTTTGTTTTTATTTTCAATTCTATCTGTGGTTATGAACCACTCTTCGATCAACTTCTCAGCAAACCCTAGGGCTTTACTACAGTAGTTTTACTCTGGCCAACAATTTGTTACCTATGATTCGAGGAAGTCTGTACGAAGTCTGAAATTGCTGGATAAAAGTACGTCCAACTATTACAACCCAGGACCATTTTTCACGCAGCCAAACAAACATACGTAAATCGAACCGGTCAGCAACTCACATTCTTAATAACAGTGTGGTGTTCAAGCCAACAGACTGTCATTGATTATACCGAGAATATAATCGCGGTCCATAGTCAGGAGTAGAGCGAAAATGTTCGCCCGTCGGTCAGGTGTGGAATCGACTTTTGCTGCCGGGAAATATAGGCCCGCAACCTACATATGGATCAATGGAAACATTTTCACAAATGACGAAATATTTCATGTGCGAAGTTTACACTTGATGGGCCAACTATTCTGTGATTGTGTAAAGTGAATAGCTTAGACGAATGGCGAGCATGGCTACTTTATGCCGCGTTGCGACTTGATCAGAGGCCCGCCCAGCCGCGAGAATTTATATGGAATTTTTCCTTGAATAGGTATTGCGAACACAGAGGAGGTTGAAATAATCTGAGGATAGTTTGGAATTTTCAGTTGAAATTCTTCATGGAAATTGAAGCTAATCCACACTGAGAGACCTGAAATTGCTGTACAGATGCTCCATCATGACTGGGGAACATTAGCGATTAACATCTGTCGAAATTTCAGGGGGCTTTCAACCCAAAACATCCTGCTAAGGTGGGCAAGGTCGAATGAGCAACACTCTGATTAGCTTGCACTTAGGGAAGATATAACCACACTCGTGCTTCGACCGATGAAACTACATCACATCTTCACGTGTTGATTGGCTTCTATAACCAAAACCTCTCAGATGGAAGTTTTACAAAACTTGGGAAACTACTTTTCCCCCGATGAGCTTTGCTTAGGGAAGATCTCACCTAAAATCTTCCAGAGCCCCCAAAACTAACAACAATAGAATCTGGGTAAACTGCAACAGTTATTACAGTTCCTCATAATATCTGAAATGAACGTATATCAACTTCCTAAAATGCCATATTTAAATCCATCCGATTGTTTCTATCGACGGATCATCAAATAGCCCCTGACGTCTAAATAATCGCCTAACAAAACAAAACGTGTAAAAGTCTAAATCGCAGTGATACAAACTTGACCAAAAATTAACCTACGTAATGTATTTTGGGGTGAAGGTTAGCAATATTTTGTCATTATAGCGGACAGATAAAATATCCGAGGAAGTTTCTAGTTGAAATGAGGGGATTTTCAGATGTTAAGCTACCTTGCTGGGAGCTATATGAACCTTTTAATGTGATAGTTAACAGTAGGTTCGCTCTGCTCTGAAACACTCGGGAAATACTAGCGATTAATTAGATGATTTTGCTAATCCCCCAGTGTCGCTGATCCCAAGGTTTCGATGTCAAACGAACAGAGTGATAGTAGGTGAATTAGAAGGAAGTGTCCCTAATTGCAGGAGCAAGAAAATGCCGACGCTGGTCTCTTTCAAGTTGTGGTGGGGAAAGTGTGGTACTTCCCGGTTTTTGAAAACAACCGCTTGCACCCAATTATCCCTGTATATCCGAGACATTCCATTCTCGAAATCGTTATCTCTTGTATCCCACTGCTAATTTCCAATGCCGGATCTCTTCCAATTTGCAGCAAGATTATGAATCTTCGTGGATTTATCGGTTTCTTCCGGTACGCACAGATGTTTCTTCCCAATCGATGGAGTGCTTCTCAAACAAAGTTGCTTGCTTATTGCTCAAACCAAGATTTCCTGGAAAACCCCATAGTTGTGTCCAGTTTGGCCATGTGGGGGAGATAACAGGCCATGTAGCTGCGTAATACAGCAGCCCACAGTCGATAGGATTGTGTATGCATTTCACAGTGATACTATAATACTAGTCTAATTTATAGTCAATCACAGGTTTACTTTCACCTTCTGGATAACCGAAAACCTGTTTTCACGCAGCCTTCAAAACGAGGCCAGTGATAACGGACCAGAAGTTCGCGCAAGTGAATGGGACTAGATTACTTGCTTGACTGTTGGGTTGTCACCACGTCCTTTTTGCGAAGGTCGTGTGAAATAATCAGGTTTCTTAGGGAACTGTACTAATTTGCGAACAAATATGGTTTTGCGAGAGAATCAGGTGGGTTCCAGGTGAGTGCCTCCCAAAACGGAATTTGTTTGTAAATGTGTGTATTTGGCTGATTTCGTGGAGACTCGAGGGCTGCGCCTACCTGATGAGCCCGGATTGGAAGGGCGAAACTGGCCGTGGGCTGTCGAAGAATTCTCAGCAGCCTTATGAGTGGTGTATTGCGCATAATCAGGCTTCTTGTTTATTTTGATGGTTCCGCTTACCGCAGTGGATTTCAAAATAAGACCTAATCATGCAAACCAGATTGTTGTACAAACGGATGCTCCAAATAGCACCTGAAGCACGCCTCATAGGTAACCAGTAAGCCTGTTGTCACCATTTGTATCTATAACACAAAGCTAGACGAATTGTTCTCTGCTTTTGTAGAATTTCAAAAGCGAACTACCACACCCCGGTCACTCTTAATGAGAGGTGGATGTCGCGGTGCTGAGACGCACTAATTATCCTGGTGTTCTATAATTTGGTTAGCTGGTACAACGATGAGATTTCACCTCGTTACATGGTCTCGCTTAATTCCTCAGCTCTCCAAAATACCGAACTGCAGTGCTTTCTCTTGTAAAGTTTGGTGTAAAACAAAAAAGAAATTTTGAGCACCTGCAAGCTCGTTAGGAGGTTTCGTTATTTTGAAGCTCTGAAAGGATGAACAGGGTACAAAATTACTGGAGAACGCGCAGTTTACTGACAACGACCAGATAATTCGAAAGAAGCGTTTTCTGGATGTGTGGTTTTTGAGTGTCTTATCACCGTGGAATGGTGCAACATAAAATGTATCATTTAAATTTTTTTGGATTAGTGTCATGGGGAAAATGAACTTTCAGCGAAATATTGCGAAGAAATTTGGTTTCGCAACTCGGTTGTCAAGAAATTTTTAGCAACCTTATAAGTATTAGATTGCGAAACCAAACCATCATTTTTACTCACGAATCAACTAAATGGTGAACGCAAGTCTTGTTTGTTCGTCCTACCTAAATTTTGTCACAGATGTACAATTCCTGTAGAGCTTGCATTGTGGGGCCAAGTAGATTCTGAGCCATTGAGACGGGCGTTGTGCACGTTTGTTGATGTGGGTCATGCCGCGTCGGCTTCTCTCAGGAATGCAGGCTTGACAGGAGGTGGGTTGCTTAGCTTAGTGTACCAGTCGTGTGAAGTTCCTCCTTGTATATGAACTATCTTAAGTAGTTTTTACTGGACACAGCACAATATCCGTGATTTCAGTGAACGAGAATCATGTCCTTTTGGATGCAAGATTCCCAAGTGTGTTTGCTGTGGATGAAATCGTCCTAGCGAATGTATCCTTCTGCTGGTCTACCAAGTGACCTGGAGTTTATGGGATTTTGTTACATCGGACGAAATTCTATCAAGTTCATATTTATTGAAAAGACAAATTTTCAAATCTAATTTGCGCCTCGTTTTTGTTCAGCCGTGTACGATCAGTTGAAGGACCATGGATAACCTAAAATACCGTTAAGTAAATTGACTGTGACGTGAGTTTGACTTGCATTTTCAGCCATTATCTCCTCCGGAGATGGATGAAAACGAGTCGACCTCACTTCGTTGTGGCTGCCAGCAACTGCGCAGTGCGTTAATTCTCAAACTAAGTCATCAAAGTTGAGTATTCCAAATTTATGGAATTGCTGGCATTATTCACATATCAAAATACAGTTCGGTGAACTCAGATAAAATCGTATGTTATTGCAAATGAACGGAAAGACAATACAACACATGTGGGATTTAGTGTGAATCTTCACATTCCGCTATATGCAGGGGTGGGCCATCTCCGACACTAATCACATGCACCATCAATAGTACGCACCGTGGTCACCATAAAGAAGAGAGGATCTTCGAATTCTCTACGAATACGGTGACCGGACATGGAGAATCGTATAAATGTAGTCTTGATTTGGCTTGGATCTGTCCGGTTAAAGAATATAGGGTAAAAGCGATGCTCGTCTGTAAAGTGCACCCATGGACAGCATACGTGCAGCGACTGATGAAAGGAAAGCATGTAAAAAAAGGACTGCAAAATAATTGTCTAGGTTGCTATGTAACTTGAGGTCAATCGAGAAGAATGTGCATCTACTTTTTCGTACTTTTTATCCCGTCACCTTGCCATGCTTAATTCCGATTGTGGTGAACATGAGTTCTTTCTTAATGTGAGCACAGACGGGCAGTAGTTGTTGGGTGAAAGAACAAGTATGAGTCCGCTTCTTAGAAGCTCGAATTTAGGAGAGCATTGCGATCGAGTTTAATGGTACAAAATCATGCGTCAACTGCACACAACCGTGCGCGCTCTGAGAAGTGAGTTCATGCAGAAAGGTTCCGGATGGTTCCCAACACAACTCCTTCTGGCAGAGATCCAATGTAACTCATGCAGAATGTACCTGGTACCCAAAACTTCCAACTGATCCAACTAAGTCCAACTGCTCTGTATCGTCTAAAGACGTCATCGGCATTTGAGTGTCAGAATTGGCATCATTTTTGGAACTTTAGAAACGCCGTCCTTAGTAGTTTTTGTTTTCATCGACTCTCCATGTGCATTTGGCCTAATTTTTCAACAGCCGACTTTCCAATCTAGGCTTACGCATTCCTGTGAACAATGCATTACGATGAGGTTTACAAACCACCTGGAACTATTTGTCTGCTTAACGTGGGTTCTGTCTGTCGTCAAATTGTCTATCTGCATTCCTGATGGTCATATGCGCGAGCGGTCAGTTAGCAAAGATTCACGCTGATAGATGCGAGGGCAGTAGCGTGGGTGTGGAGAGTAGTGTGCTCACCTCGCCATTCTCGTTCAACAAACGTCAGTAGGGAACGACACATAATCATAACACAAGCGAAAGCGTCGACGGTTAACTGAGTGTTCTGGTGGGTATTTGCGACTGTCAAGCCTTAAACGGAGAAACGTAAAAATGTTAGGAAATCTTTCCTGGATTCCCGTAACAGACTTGGAAACGCAGAAGTGAACAATTACTCATCGATTTCCAGCGAGTGACAACTGTCCAACGCATTATTCGCACTTTAGAAAAGCACGTTATTTGACCGGGATCATATTTTCAGCTACCTCTGCAGTGAACTCAAGAGGGGGTACAAGTAAAGGTGATTTAAACGTCGATCAAGTGCATGAATTGGCATAAACACGCAGAGCTAGTCAACCTTAATCTTCTATGTGTGGAATATTGGTAACGGCAGATGAGTGTAACAAACCCTACGCAAGTGATTTTCCAGAAATTGAGACCTTATAAACTGCTGGTGCTCTATCTGACATGTGGATAACGGATATACACGCTTGACTGATGCCGGACCGCAAGATTTTGCGTGCTATCGAAGACTGAATCTAATCCCGAAGCATCCACTTTAGTTTCCTCGACAGGAGTCACCAAGCTTTGACAAACAATTTCGGTCTGGCTTGTTGGCGAAAAAGTGTACTTATCAGCTGTATATATGAACAAAAGTTGAATGAAACGCAGCGAAACTTAAGGCGGTTGGTGTACGCAAAATGTTGTTTGTGTATATTTGTGGAATGTGATGATCCAGGATGCTGGTTTCGCCCACTGTTGACGCCTTGATTCCACGCGGATCGGTTGAACAGATATAGTGGGTTTGTCGTCAAAATGTTCAATCGAGTCAGAGAGCTGTGCGCAGAAGTAATCGACCGAATGGTGACTCAAATCAAAACAGCCCCCAAGATATAGGATACTTAGTGGGTTTGATTGGGCGTCAATTAAGAAGGATATTGGCTCCGGTATCTTGACCCAGTAGGGAATGGATTGGCACAGCGGTCATTCCATATAAAGCACAGAACCCGAGGTTATTCGAAGATCGCTAAACTTAGCCGAAATTCGAGTAGCTTTTCAAAAGGGAAATCGCTACGCTCAATTTTGTTTCATTCGGAAAATCCTCTCCCGGTTAAAAGGATTAGGGACTGTGTGTTTAACATTAAACGTAACGATCGCACTAAGGTTTACATAGAACAAACTGTCAGGGGATTGCAAATCAGAATTGGTGAGCATAAATGTAGTATAAGCAAACCACCAAGGATTGTGGAGGGATTCTTAACGCTGGCCAAATACAGGGAATGCGGTGAATGTTAAAC